CTCGGTTTCTCTCTCTGCTCTCCTTCTCATGTGCTATTTCTTCCAAACCTTCGCCTGCCGCCTTCCTTCTCTCTTCGTCTTTCCACTTCCTCCTGGCTTTTCCATTTCCTCTCCCTCTTCTGTTGTCCTCTTCTTCCCATCTCTTTTTTATTCTCTTTTCTACCCCCTTTTCTCACTGCCCCCCTCCTTCCCCACTTCCTATTGTCCCTCTCTGCCCGTGCTCTGTCCCTCCTTTCTGCGTGGACTCAGCCTCATGCTTCTAGGCTTGGCCTTGCCTGCTGGGAATAGAGTGTGGAGTAACTAGACTAACTTCCAGGGTCCCCTTGGAGAGGCAGGCCCTTGCAATGAGGGTGCTCAGTGAGGGCCCTGGGCTGTAGGGCCAGGTCTCAACAGGAGCAAGGCTGTGCTTCGCCTGGGGCCACTGGGCATAAGACAAAGTTGGTGCCCCAGCCCCTGCTGCTGTGTCTACTCTTGAGCATGGCGCACCTTGAGGACAGAGTACCCCCTCTGACTCCACCCCCAGTCTCTGATCCTAGGACCCATGGCCAAGGATATCAGAAACTCTGGGTTGTGGTCCTGGCCCTGCCTGTGACCACCGCTGTGAGCTTGGGCAAGTCTCTTAACTCTTTAGATCTCAATTTCCCGATGTGAAAAACAGAGAGATGATAGCCCTGCCTTGCTATCTTGCACAGTGGTTTCACATACCCCAGACATTTGGATCCTTCATCAAGGGTCACCTTACTTTATTTGAGGATGATGTCATCCACTAACAGCTACCCCCAGCCTCTGGACATGCAGGCCCGTATGTCCAAGCCCTGGGGAGGGGATCAAGTCATCCTCTCCCTGACTTCTGAGCCTGGAGGCCGGGGTCAGGCTCTCCCATGCCATGGCCTTGAGCAGTTATGGGGAAAGGCTTCTGGGTGGTGGGAACCGTTGACTCCCAGTGGCAAAACCCGGTGCCTCCATGGACCCTCTTTCTCCTGAGTCCACAGATAATCGGGAGATGGCTCTAGCAGGCTGCCCGCCTCCTCCTCTATTCTCCCTCTTTCTTTTCTTGGCCCAGAGATGGGAAGCACAGTGTTTGGCTGGCCCTAGGGGTTTGGGGTAGGTTCTGGGGTGGTGGGCCTGTCCTGAGGGGAGCTGGCATGGCTTGCCCTAGGGCTGCTAGTGTGATCTCTGTGTGGCTTTCTGGTGCCCTGGCCCAGCAGGTGGCCTCCAGGATCCCCTCACTTCTGGAGTCCCAGGCATGTCGTCTGACACCCAGCCCTGCCACCTGGAGCTGAGGAATCCAGTCTTTTGGAAATTGGAAGGCTGGAACGAAGAGCTGGGTCTGTGGGGGTGGGTGGCCAGTCTGGGAGGTGTAGGGTGGCATGTGATGAAGCCCAATACCAGGGTATCGTGATCCACGTGTCCATGTGATCTAGGGGCAGTGGGTGGTGGTGCTTTGCCAAAGTGTGTGAATTGATATGTGTCAGGGCTACAGTTCTCAGAACTGCAGGGTGTATGAGTGAGTGTGTGTGTGTGTGTTTGTCAGATGAAGGGGAATAATTGCTTCAGGTCCAGTTCATAGGAGGGGAGCCCTGGAGAGAGCTGTTCCCCCAAGCACAATGGCATCCTGGGCAGCAGAGTGCAGCCTCACTGGGAAATAGGGCTGTTCTGGTGCCTGCTCTTGTCTGGGGGCCTGTGTGGAGGCTCCCAGGGTGGGGTGGAAGGCCTGCAAGGCTGACTACATGCAAAGTAGCCCTTAGGGGACAACACTGGGCTCTCTGAATGCAAGGTGGCATGATGTTGAAGACCCTGTTCCTGCTGTAAGGGCATCCCACTCCTGCTCTGTCTCCTCAGGGTAGGGTACTGGGCTCATCAGCATGGCTGGGAGGACCTTCCAGAGTCCCTTCCACTGCTTTTCTTTCCTCCTCTCTTCATCAGCTTCCTCTGGCCACATGGTCTCCTTCTGGGCTAGGGGTTGACCGTAGAGGTTCTGAGGGTGACCTGGGGGTACCACTAAGGACCCCCATCATCCCAGTGTCCTGCTGCCGTTCCTGTAGGGTTAAGGCTATGTGTGTGTGTGCACACGTGTGTGTGCATGTGTTTGTATGTGTGTACATGACTCTGCCTGTGTGAATGTAGGAGACAGAGGTCCTTAGAGAGATGGGGCCAAGAGACTGAGAAAGTCCTGGGGTGGAGGGTGGTGGTGGGGAAGAAGGGACTGGGGGCAGGCCTATTTTTATTATCAGTCAGCCTCTGGGATGTGAGAAAGGGGTGTTCTCTGTCTGACACTGGCTGTCAGCTTGCATCCAGACGCCCCAGCTTGGCTGGGGAACAATAGGCCTCTCTTCTCTTCTCTGTGCCATGCCTGTCTTTCCTCCCCTGTGCCATGCCTGTCTTTCCTCTCATAGGAAGGACAAGAGAGAGGGGACATGCTCTCCAGGCACTCTGGGAAGATCTGGGCTTGCCAAGGGGGACAACAGTGGGACACTGTATTCAAAGAATGTGAGCGGCCCTCCCTGGCCACTGGTGCCATGGGGCACTCTGCAGGGGGAGGGGCTGGCCCATGGGAGTGGAATGTGGGGTCTTCCCCCTTCTGCAGAAAGAGGCTCTGACCAGCAGCTCTTTAGCTCTTTGGAGGTCATCGGTCCAGCCCCTGCCTCTGGTTAGAACTCGCTCCCACGTGCCGGTCTGGTGGTGATGGGGAGGGAACTGAGAAGGTGCTGCTCACTCCCAGATGGCCAGCTGCCTTGTGCCAGGGCTGCACATCCTCCACACATGGCAAGTCCCTCTGGCAGTCCAGCCACATCTCCTGGGATGCTGCAGCCATCTGTAGCTCCTGGACATGGAGGCTGCTCTGGGCAGGTCAGGGAGAATGTTCTCTGTTCCTCCGGGAGATTCAGTGCCTCAAATGGAAAGAACCCATTTTTCAAGGGCAAACCTCAGATCCCCAAACAGGGAGATTGGCCACCTGAAGAAAAGGCAGGGGTCCTGCCAGAAAGAGGCTGCCAGGGGTCGGTGAGCCTGGAACTGAGACCAGCCCTAATGCATTTCTTTTAACCTTGGGGCTGAAGTTGGTTCCAAATCCCAAGAGCCTTTCCCGAATGGGCCTCCTTTGTCACAATTATTATTAGAAAATCAATGGCTATGTCTGTTTCTCTCTAATGGTTTGGCCAGGAATGAAACCAGCAGCAGGTCTTGTCTAAGAAGCCCAGGAGGCCCAGGTTGGGCAGGGGCTGCTGGAGGAGGGAGTAGCATGGCCGAGGCTGGGGGTGCCTGCGGGTGTGGCGTGAGGCATAGCCATTTCTCTGAGGCTTGGGTGCCTGGAGTTGCCCTAGGATTGTAGCGTGCTGCTAAGCCTTTCAAAACCAGGCCTTCTTTCCTCCAGGTGGATGCTCATAGAAGCACCTGGCTGGGACTGATGCTGCCCCTATTTTTTTATTCTAAAAATAAGGGCACTTCAAGGTGCGAGGCTTATTTGCTTTAAGTGGAGTAGTTTGTGACTGGCGGGGTGAAGTCAGAGTCCAGTGTACTGTCCTTATCCGGGCTTTATTTTCTCAGTTGAGATGGCAGGCGGGGCTGTCTCTGAGTAATAAACAGCCCAGAGTAGACACTCAGTGCCTTCTGCATTTAATGTGCAAATGCCATACCAGTCCTGCTGCTCTCTCAAGGGGGCCCCACTGGAGCCCCCGATTATGGGAGAGTATGAGTGCGTGTCTCAGTGACTGCATGTGTGTGCGTGTGTGTATGTCACCCCTTAACTTGGGAGCCAGCAGCCTGCTGTTCATGACAAGGAGGAAGGCTTCCCAGTGGTGCTGTTCAGGGCAGCCTCTGTGGCTGTGCCAGGCTGGGGGCCTATCTGGGGGCAGGCACATCTCACTGTGGATGGCAGAAGATGATTCAGTCTGAATGCGAGTGATTTCTGCTTGGCTGCACTAGCACCTCCCAGTACGGGAGTGAGCGTGTGTGTGTGTCCACATGTGTGCATTTTTATACCTGCATGCACACACACCTATGCCATGGGACAGTGTTTCCAGATGTGTGTTTAGGGTCCCAGTCCCATGTGACCTGAGGCCTTTGGTAAGTCCCAGTGGTAGTGAAGGCATTGCTGAAAACCTCCTCCCAGAAGATAATCAGGTCTGGGAGCCCACCCTTCAGGCTGGGTCTTGGCCACTGGGACCCAGGAAGTAAGTTTTCTAGGATTCTGAGAGCCAGTTCAATGAGGCAATGGATTCCATGTCTCAACCCAGCTGTGCAAAGAGGGAGTGGGAAGGAAGGAGGGTGAGGTTAACAGCATCCCCAGCCTGTGGAATGGGACTGGGATGGGAGGTGCAGAAAAGCAGATGGGGCATGTGACTTCTCTTTGCAAGCTCTTCAGCTGGGAGGGGCAGGGTGGGCAATCTTTAGGGCAAGGAAAAGGGGCGGGTAGCTCAGGGGTCAGTATGAGGGAAGTTGGTAGGAGGTTTTGGAGGTACACTGCATGAAGGCTGGGGAACCTCAGAGAAGGCCAGAAATATCTCAGGGGCCAGCTGGGGGTGGGGGATCTACGACAAGACATTTCTTCGTTTCTCCTTGGGAGTACCATTTGCAAGATGATGCAATTTAGCTCTTTCCAAAAGTTCATCCCCACGGGCTTGATGTTGCCTGTTGGTTGATGCAGTTGCCTTGGAGACTCTCTCTTCCCTCCACCTCCCCTCCCTTGTCTGGAAGCACTGGCCCTCTGCCTTCAGGGGTTGAAGGAGTTGACATCTGTTTCTTGTATCAGTCCTTTGTGCTCTTGGCCTTCCTGGTGAAGGCCGAGCCCAATCTAAGCAGATCCCCCACCCTGCAGAGAAAACCTGGGGTGTGAGCAGAGTTGGGCCCAGGAAGGCTGAGGGGAGGTGGTGAGGGGACACAAGCCAGCTCTAGCTTGGCCCCTGAGCTAAGAGGCACTGCCTTCTCTGGGGGATTAGGCCAGACTGATGATTTCTTGTACAGTACGCTCATCACCCACTATGCTCTGCCATTCCTCCCAGGCGTGCAGGCTCGGGAGAAGCAGCCTGCAGAGCCCCCAGCCCCTCTCCGGAGGCGGGCAGCCAGCGATGGACAGTATGAGAACCAGTCTCCAGAAGCCACATCCCCCCGGAGCCCTGGGGTTCGCTCCCCCGTCCAGTGTGTCTCCCCCGAGCTGGCTCTTACCATTGCCCTTAATCCTGGAGGGCGGCCCAAAGAGGTGAGTCCTTAAGCTACATCTGGGCCATACAGGGGTGTGGAGCCCACCTTAAATCTCCAGGAGCCTGGTGGTCAGATTGGCACTGACCTATCAGTGAACTCAGTAATTTTTCCCTCCCTACATCCTCACCCAAGGTCTCTAGCGTGTGGAATCTGGAGCCCATTTCCTTTCTGAAATAGCCTTTATGCCCCCACTTCTCACATTAATACTGAGATTGAAGTTCCCTTCTCGATTCCTAAAGAGAGCCTCTTAGTAGGTTGTAAAGATCCTGGGGATGACACAGGTGACCAAAACTTCTAAACTCCTAACCAGATCATATAGGCTGACTAAAAATGTTTCTGAGCCTTTTCCAGACATAAGGGCATTCCTGGGAGATTTAATTTTCATGCCAAAATGTTTATTTCTGTGATGTTTAGGTAGTTGGAGGCAGTGGGTCTCAAACTTCAGTGTGTGCAGCAAGCATCAGGGAGTTGATTAAAACTGTAGGTTCCCAGATATAGGATGAGACCTAGGAATCTACATTTTAAACATGCACCCTAGAAGATTCTGATGCAGGTGGTCCATGAGTCACATTGAGGGAGATATTGTACCATCCTATAAAATCCAGGCTAAAAAGTTGTTCTGGATATAAATGGCTTTTGGACATCGTTTCTCTTCTGCCTTCTGTCAGGACCCGGGTCTCCAGCCCCCAGCCCCTCTTCTTTGGCTCTGTTCTGAAATATTTACAAGGCAGGTGCTCCTGAATTCTGCCTGTGTTTGACTGTGGCCTTGTGAATAGCCGATTTC